ACCCGGCACCTATTAATTAAATGAGAGGTGAACACTGTACCTCTGGACCACGAGAACCCCCACCCCCACCCCCTGATAATTGTGTGCGGACAAAAAGAAAGTTTTGTAGTTTTAGTAGAAGTTTTACGGCGCTCGCAACTGCATAATAAGGTCATATGAGCGCCAAGGGGTGGATGTCAACAGAGAAATCCTTACTGGGAATCAGGATTACTCTGCTCACCTCTCTAGCTTCAACAGCACAGTCTGCTTCGACTAACAAGGCACCCCGGTAATAGCGGGTCACAAGAGTGTGACAAACATACAAAAGTAGTAGAGGGAAAATAACGATAGTAAGGATTAGGAAAGAAAAAAGCAGCAGTTCCCTGTCGTAGTTCAGGCACAGTTGTGAGCATGACATAGTTGGATCAGCCCATTTACAATTCTACTCTGCATTAGAACGAGAAATTTGGGAAAAAAACAAAAACAAACAAAACACCCACTTAAAGAAAAACATTTAGAAATACACAACAATTTAACTGTCTCTTACGGGAGCGCACACGTATCAACTATTATTATGCCATCCTAAAATAGCACACAACGCCAATTTGCGTCATGCAGGGCGACGGCCGAAAACTGGTTTACTAAAGAGTAACGTACAAAGAGAAAAAGGAGGCGATAATATAAAAACGAAAGATATGTTTGATTGGAAAGAAAGAGCAAACCACACCCAAGCGCCTGTCAACCACCCACCAGTATGAGTAAGTATCTCCGCCACTCAGCCTGGGATGGCCCCAATAGGTACATGTACTGTTTTTGTTTTGGTAAGTCTATTAATAGAAGTCTATTGCGCTCGCAACTGCATAAGGTCATAATATGAGTATGAGAGTTGAGAGCGTGGGACACATTAAACATTTTCAGTTTGGTAGGTATTTTGAATTTTGCCCTGGTGGCGGTTGAAGCCTACTCTTATTGATTTTAGGACCATCAAGGGGTCTTTAGCGCACTCAAAAATGCACACGAGAGCCCAAAGGGTACATTGAAGCAACAGGTTATCAAATTAATTATCTAAATTGTGTCTATGGCGGCCTTACAATAATAATACAATTTCACAGTACGTTTAGTTTTAGTTACTGTTTTACGGCACTTGCAACGCAATAAAGTCACATACGTGCCGAAGATTAGAGGTGTTACTAGAGAGTAACAAACACAGAAAAGAACAAGAGATCAAGAGAATAGATGTTTGATAAGAAAGAAGGAGCAAACCACACCAGAGCACCTACCAACCACCCGCAATTTTACACTTTATAAGGTCATTGCGAAGGTTGTACACTATGGTCAGTTATATAATCATTTATGCACAAGAGCAGCAGTCCTTTTCGATGCTGTATTTTAGAGTCATTTAAGATGCGGAACTTCGATTTCACATCCATCTCATTTTGTTTTAGTAATCGTTTTATGGCACTTGCATCTCTAAGGTAATTAAGTGCTGAAGAGTAGAGGCGTTACAAGAAAGTTACAAACACATAAAAAGGAGGAGAGACTTAATAAGGAAGATAGATTTTGGATAGGAAAGAAGGAGCAACCCACATCAGAGCGCCTGCCAGCCAATCCCCGATAAGACCAAGCCATGAAACGTCCCAAATAACACAAGTTCAAAAATCGATCAGGGAATCAAACCCAGTGTCATCTAAAACACTGACACCGACTAGCCTTATACTAAGTTATACACCAGCTGAGCCAGTGTGAGTAATAATTATCGTCGGCAGAGAATTCTAACCGTCTAACTCCAAATTTTCTCGAATTGCTTTTTTCCTTAAAATAGATTAACATAACGAATGGCTACGTCCTATTAAAATAATTTAAAATCTAGAACAATTTTGACAAACAAGAGTCTTGTTTTAAAGAGAAATTCTAACCGTATATTCCGACTGACTTCCGTGACTGAAGAAT